GGAAGAATGGGTATAGAGGCCGACGCATGGGTCCCGCTGTCATAGACTCAAAATAGAGAGGATGGATGGAGAGGCTGTTGGAGTAAACAATCAATTTGACTTGACAAATGAAATAGAGAGTTGGCCAAATAGACATTTGGAGAGTCAAATCTAGAGAGGCTGTTGGAGATGCTCTGAGAAGCGGTGAATCAAGTCGGTTGCAGAGGCGGTCGTCGATTTGGTCACGACGGCAATGGCGTGGAAAACAAAGGAGCGACACCGGCCTCGTTCTATGGTTGGTTGGCGATGGCGGCGCGAGCACGTGGAAGCTGCGTCTGAGTTGGGCGGCGGAGGAGGAGGGTAAGGCACGGCGTCGGCGGAGGCGCAAGCTGTGGGCGACGATGGACGACGGCGGTCGGCGGCGCGAGTCGTGGGCGGCAGCGCCCATGGCGCACGGCAACAGCGCTCACAGAGAGGAGAGAGGCGGCTGCCTCTCGGGCTGGGCCGATTTGGGCCGAGGAAATAAAGAAAGGTCTGGCCCAAAATGAATAGGAAATCCTCCGAATTTCTGTAGGAAATTTTGAATAGAATTTGTATTTGGAGAGGATTTGAATAGGAAGGTTGGACAAAGGAACTTGGACACAATATATATTTGGAAGGAATTTGCTCAGCACTTCTTGGAAGGGATTTGAATATTCGAAGAAAGTTAAAGATAGGTTTAGAATCAAAGGATGGGTCGACAATTAATTCCAATAAAATTGGAATCGCTTGGTTTAGGTTCTAGGGCAATAGTGGAGAATTTCTTGGACCATAATTCATAAAAATAGAAAGGGTTTTCAAACTAAATTTGAATAAAAGAATTTTAGTCGAAAGAAGGTTTTATATTCAAAAATAAAATTCCATCAAGAAATACCTCAATTTAACCAAATATATTTTTAAATGAAAAACACAAAAGAGATTAAATACCACAGAAGGATTTTGTGCAAGTTAGTTTTAGGAGGTCCCTCTAATTATACTGTCTAGGAGGTCCCTCTAATTATACTGTCCTAAGTTTAGGAGGTTATTAAGAACATAAGAATCGGCATGATGCAAGAAAAATGACACATTTTCAGGAAGTTATAAACCTACCCCCTTAAATAAATCTCATCCTTTAGATTTCTGATGAGTCCAAATAGTAGTGTGGGAATTATATTCTTTCTTTGGTTCTTCCCAAAATTCCGGATATCTGACTGATTAATCTGTTGGTGAACAACTTCATGTTTTTATAGTACACGTAATTGTATGTACTGGGTAATAGAAAGCTGTATATCACTTGATTCAACCTCATCTGATTTAAAGTTCGGAAATCCAACATTCGGTAGCTTTTCCCAGTAGAGACATGCCATACGGTATTTTTGTATGGGATTCAATGTTTCTAGCACATAAATATGTAATCGTCATACTTGTTGCGGAGTTTTATTAAGATCTTCCCGTTCTTCTTACTATTGGGGTGGTCGGACTTCTTCTCGTATCCTCAGAATAGAGCTGATAAATGATCTTTGTCTGTTCTTGTTGGCTTCAACATTTTCTATCGAACATTATTTTCTTCCAACTATATAGAAAATATAGATAGTATCATTAGAAGGTGTTTAAAAAATAAAAGGGTAATCCTAGGGTGATGCAGCTAGGGGCCCCTTTCGGAGGGCCCCGGCCCGCCTAAGATTTCATATGTGGGATTCTCTCTAGCTAAGGAGGAATATTGCATATATGACTCAAAACTCTAAGTATAAAAGTAGCTTGGGGCCTAGCTTGGGTCCCAATCATACCCCAAATATGCCTTCCTTGTAGGTTCTAGGTCCTCAGCAGGAAGGACGTAGAAACATACAAGACTTATATCTTAAGAGAATGAGGTAAGGTCTGCCTCGGGCCCGGCCTGAGCTTGGGCCGCGGGCTCACCTTAGCCCGTACAACTCACATATTACTCAAGGAAGAAGAGTGACGAGACTTGCCAAGCTTGAAAGCGGTTTGACTTGGGCTCGGCCTTGTTCTGGGCCTCGGGCTCACCTTGGTCCTTGTATAGCTTGCATCCCTTGAACGTGTAGAGATGTAGCCTAGAGGGGGGGTGAATAGGCTTTCCTAAAATTTTCTCAACAATTGCAGCGGTTAAATTGACAGGGCCCGGAACCTCCTGGTGATGAACACCGGAACTTTCGGGCAGGATGAGTAGCCCGAAACTTCCGGAGTTCTTGAGCTAGGAACTTCCGGGCAGTAGAGATAAATTAAAACTGAGATGAAAAAACAGGTCCTAGCAAGGGAAGTTTAGGCACACAGAGGAACAAGATGAAGATCGCAGAATATCAGCAGATTCACACAAAGATCATGCACAAGAGAGACAAAGACGATTTTTTCCCGAAGTTCGGATCACACGAATCCTACTCTCCGTTGAGGTGCTCCAAAGAACCGGGTCTCGATTAACCCCTTGCCTCACTTATACAAAGATTTCAGAAGAGGTCCACAGCCTTCAACTTAACACTTCTAGGTCATTTTCTAGAATTGAGTGACCACCAAGATCAAACTCAAAAATCCTTCTAGAAAAGGCCACAAGTGCAAGTTGCTCTACCTAGGACAACCTCTGAAAACTCAGCACAAGAATCTTTACTCACTTACCTCGTTTCCTTGCGGAGGTGAGGAAAACCTTCACAAACTTTCCCGGGACATCCACAAGATCTTTGGAAGCTCACGGGCGACACCTAACCGTCTAGGAGAAGATCTCCAAGAGTAATAAGCCCAAGTGACAGCCCACAAGGTATCTAAAGTGCTCAATCAAACCTAATCTTCAAGCCATCTCCAAAACACTCCTACACTCTCATCTAATCTCTCAATCTCACAAGATAGGCTCTAGATTTGAGTGGAGAAAGCAAATGAAGCTTGGGAGTGGCTAGAAAACCCTAGAACATGAAAGAACTGAAGTGGAATGGCCAAAGGGTAACCTGGGGACGAAATCCATATATATAACGGCTAGGTGACGTCATCTAGCCGTTATTCACAAGTTTGAATTGGAAACCTGCCAGGAGGTTCCGAGCAAAAGTGCCAGGAACTTCCGGGCAGCACTTAGGAAATTTTTTACAAATAAACGGCGCCCGGAAGTTCCGGCCAGAACCTCCGGGTAGCCCTCTCTGTCCCGGGGAGAAAATCATTTTTCAAAAACGATTACAAAAATCTTTTGACTCATGGATATGACTAAGAGCACTTTGTATACCCTAGAACCACACTTGAAACCCCTCTTAATAGTACGGATTTTCCTAAACTCAATTTCGAAAGTGAAAAACCTAGTCTAATCACCTTCGGTGATTTTCGCACTTAGGAACATTTGAATTGGGGGGTCTCCTTGCATTCTTAGCCATCACAACTTGCTTTGGGACTAAACTCCTGTGAATAAACTTGATAAACACGTTAGTCCCCTTTAACCACCTTGTCATTAATCACCAAAACCCACTAGGGGGTTTAAGTGCATCTTCATCCCTCTGCCTAGAGGGGTGTCAAAACGTACAAGGCGCATAATCTTGGAATATTCTTCCATCAACCATACCCTCTAGAAGCTCATCTAAGAATAATCAACCTTCTTTGAGCGCGGGAGGACAAGACCTCAGAAACTACCGGGAAGTTGGGCGTGCTCCATAGCCAGCTATGAGGCAGCACGCCTCGCCATAAATGAAACAGGTTTATGGGGGGATCCTCGGCCAGTCTGGAGTTGAAAGGGCATGGACAAGACGCCAACGCTAAGTTACTTTGGACAGTGGCGCTTGGGACACGCGTCGCACATGCCCCGCGCCACCTGATTTAGCCAAACGGGCAGAGAAGCAACCGTGGCATTGTTTCGGGTAGGTCGGGCCTTATCGGGCCCACCACGCACCACGTGGTGAACACACTGGCGGAGGCCCAACCATCTAAGACGGAGCCCGGAGCCCGGGGTAATATGAACTGTAAGACTTGAAGGGTTTCTTGAGAACTGCGTTAGGGAAGCAGCCAACAACAACAAGACGGCTGATTAGACAAGACTAAGAGTAGATTTCTAATGATGCGAGCCCCTCCTTAGACTATAAAAGGAAGGGGACTAGATACGGATGAAGGGTTGCATTCTTCTAGGTCAGAACTATTGCTTTGTAGCCTAAAAATGCTTCCTTTGTACTTAGCTGATCTAGAGAAGACAATGAACACCAACACATGACTAGGGTATTACACCTCCGGGTGGCTTGAACCTGTATAACCTCCTGCCTCTCTCTTCTCGTGAGGCGGTTGGGCCCCACGAATCCATCACGATCGCAGATACCGCGCACCTCATGCCGACTAACCCCCAGTCGAATCTTCACTCTCGGGGATTCCCCGCTGTCCGAGGGACTGCCCCCTCGACAGTTACCTCTTAATTTAGTGGTGTACGTCATATATGAAACTAGGTGATTCCCCACGTTTTGTTGCAGAATTTCCTAACTAACTTATAATAACTTTTTAATAATAGAGCTAAAAGTAAAAAATATATTAGTTATTAACAACAAATACAACTGGTTTGTCAAACTATGTTCAAAGAAAAATACATTGTAGATGAAATATGATATCCCACACTTTGATTATATGGATAAATATTTATTAAGTATTATAAAAATGATCGATATATATATGTTAAAAATATTGTGTGAAGGAAGATGATTGGATGCTGATTTATAGATGATGTTAAATGCTTGCATAAATTTTGTATATAATTATTGCTTGTGGATGATGCGGTGGCATGTTTGTATATTGAGCTTTATAATTAATGGGTTACAACTCTATAAGATAGGATTAGATGCGATAGTCACGTCTTCTATAAAACTTGTCATAAAAAGAACACATCCAGTTGTAATTTTTTCTCTACCTTTAATTAGCTTTGCCATAAACGACGTGGGAGTATTATTATTCAACGCTGAGTCAAACTAATGAAGTGAGCTCCCATAACCACAACCACAGAAGAAGAGCCCCCCCCCCCCCGTTTCCTTTTTCTCGGACACGGCGACCACCTGACGACGCCTACTATTTCCGCGTCGCGTCGTCGGCCCGTCTCCGTCTCCGTCTCCCTCCCCCCGCATCCCCGGGCGGAGGAGGCCACCCCACCGCCACCCGCTCCCTTTCCCCCCCTTCTTCCCTCCCTCCCTCCCTTCCCCCACCTTTTCCGCTCCCCCAATTAACCTCAAGCTCACCCGCGGAGGCGGAGGCGGAGCCGGAGGAGGAGGAGGGAAGGGCCGGTGGCATAAGGCAGCAGCGATTCTCGCCGCCGCCGCCGCCCGCCGCCGCACTCCCACGATGGACCGCCCGCCCGCGCCAGCGCCAGCGGTGGCGCTGCTCCTCGTCGTCGTCGTCGTCGCGGCGGCGGTAATGCTGGCGGCGGTGGAGGGAGCGGGGGCGGAAGCAACAGGGGTGTTCCACGTGCGCCGCAGCCTCCCCGCCGGTGGTGCGGGGGCGGCGGCGGAGGCGTACCGAGCGCACGACGGGAGCCGCAGGGGGAGGCTCCTCGCTGCCGCCGACATCCCCCTCGGCGGCCTCGGCCTCCCCACCGACACCGGGTACGCGGCGCCACCTCCCTCCCCTTCGCTTGGCCTCTGCTGCTGCCGTGCTTGCTTGCTTGCTTGGCTGATTTGGTGCTCTCTCGTCTCGCCGCAGGCTGTACTACACGGAGATCGGGATCGGGACGCCGACCAAGCGGTACTACGTGCAGGTGGACACCGGCAGCGACATCCTCTGGGTGAACTGCATCTCCTGCGATCGATGCCCACGCAAGAGCGGCCTCGGGGTAACACACCATCTCGTTTTCTTTTCTTCTTCTTTTAGATTTTTGGATTCTCTCAACTGTGGGCAAAACCGTGCGTTGCGTGCAGCTAGAGCTGACGCTGTATGACCCCAAGGACTCGTCTACTGGGAGCAAGGTTTCGTGCGATCAGGGGTTCTGCGCCGCCACCTACGGGGGCTTGCTGCCCGGGTGCACCACCAGCTTGCCCTGTGAGTACAGCGTCACGTATGGTGACGGTAGCTCCACCACAGGGTACTTCGTGTCCGACCTCCTGCAGTTTGATCAGGTGTCCGGGGATGGGCAGACACGACCCGCCAACTCCACCGTCACATTTGGGTCAGTCGTGCTCTGTCCCTGTCTTACCGCTGTTTTTGTATGAGCTACCTTCGAATGATCTACTGTTACACTTAGTATTGTTTCTTAGAAATGACATCACGTTATGAAATCTGCATGTGAATTTCAGATAGCTTATGTCTGTCACACGATGTATAATGAAACTTCCCTATAGTTAAGGAAAAAAAAACCATGAAACTGTTTCAATTCATCGGGTGGCAATGCCTCTGGCCTCTAGGTAGAATTTGTATGTAGTAATGTTTTGTTGGAAAATGCTTACATGATTCCTCCCATGTGCCAGAGGTTGCGAATATTTTCCTAACTATTTTGTTGGCTATGTTTTGTTTTATATAAGGTGACTAAGACTCAATAGCCATGTTCTTTGAAGAGGGGTTTTTTTATTGCATAATCTGCCATTAAGAAAGGCATCAAATATTGTCTTGGTGTAAAAAATATTCATTACATGCTCTTATGAAGAATGTGGCAATGGAGTAAGCAAAATTAACAATTAACATGGATGCATGACAGTAACAGAAGTGTACAGCAATGTGGAATTTAGTAATCAATTTAGTTATATGTGTTGAAGATGCCAATGCAAATAAATGCACTCCTGTCCTTTGTAGGTGTGGTTCTCAGCAAGGTGGGGATTTAGGCAGTTCAAACCAAGCCCTTGATGGAATTATAGGGTTCGGTCAATCAAATACGTCAATGCTATCACAGTTATCTGCTGCAGGGAAGGTGAAGAAGATATTTGCTCATTGTTTGGATACTATAAACGGCGGTGGAATTTTCGCTATTGGAAATGTGGTGCAACCAAAAGTCAAAACAACACCATTGGTGCCCAATATGTATGTCAACGTTGTACCAACACCTCATTATTCTGTTTGCTTTTTGCTCATAGTGAAATTTCTTAAGCTACTTTAAATATAAATTTTTGACTCTATTTGAACAATTAGTTAGCGAAACATGGTTTTGGAGATTTATCACAGTTCAGTATTAGCTATTAAGAGACATATTATATATTTTAGGAGATTCATCACATCATGTTTCAAACCCTCAAAAGGACATAGAAATGTGATATTTCCCTCTGCATCATTGCATTATCTTCTTATCAAGGACGCATGGTCCAAATCTGATGCACTATGTGAAACATAATTGTCCTAATTAAACGCTCTACTTTTTGTTCATCCGTAACTGCAATGTAGCGTGAGCTGTCCAATTAGTTGAGGTTTTCTAAAGTCAAGCATTCAAGGTTTTTTGAGAAACGCTCAGGGGTCTTCCGGCTAGCTCCACAAGGTGGTGGGCTAGACGACATGGGTTCGAAGCCTCACCCCTTCTAATTATTTAATATTAGGTCCTTCCCTAATATTCGCGTCTTTTTTTTGGGTCAAATTTAATCCAGTGAAATTACCATCTGCCTTGAACTATTGAGTTGAGCACTTAGGGAATGAAACTATTCGGAATATACGAATAACAGCTTCAGGAAGAGATAATCGTTAGAGGAATTTTGTATGCTAGCTGAATGCCTGTGCTTTGCTACGAATAGAAAATATATTATAATATTGTGAAATAAATATTTTTTTTCCATGAAACGTGTTACCCATCCTCCTATGCTATAGGGAATATTCACCTCACTTTGTTTTTTATGTGGCTATCCATTTATGGTTGTGTTTTAATATTGAGAAATTCAAGGGGGTAATTTGTAAAATTTACAATGGAAGTAGATGGATGGCAGATTCACTGCCACCACCACTATCTTCTTTTAAGGTAGTATATAGATTACCTAGTACAAATACCTCACACTGGCTGTCAGCACAGTGTAGATAACAGGAACATTGCATGCTTTATTTTGAAAAAAAGTCCATTTTACTCCGTCAAACTATTTCGTTGAATCACTTAACCTATAAACTATTTTTTGGCTCATCTTCCCCCTAAACTTTTAAAAATGCTTCACTTTACTGCTTAATAGCATTTCCCTTCTTTGTTTCTCTTTGTACTACTTATATTTTAAGCTGAAATTTTTTAGAGCCATAGATGGCTGTATTATCAAAGTTCCAAAATATTTTTAAATTCTTTTCAAGACTGTTTGCTTGAAGTTAAAATCTCAACATTTAAATTAGTCTTACATGCCTTCAATCTATGTAAACAGTGATAAAGAAAATCGAAAAAATATTCATAGGTACTCCTTCCATTCCAAAATCAGAAATTCCAAATTGATTATCATATAACCATGGTCCCTTCGTTTGACGTGTAGTATCATTGCATTTATGCATGCAAATTGAGTTTGCATGCATGCAGGTAGGAGGGTAGTAAAGGTCCCGTTTCTTGTGTATGGTGGAAGTTAAAGTGTGCATGTTTCTTGATTTTTTTCTCGTACCACAGTCACATTAAATGAAATATAAGAAAGTTAATACTTCCTTGGTCTTGATGAAAAAAACTTATTTGATAATTAATATGGAATAGAGGGAGTAAGTTGTAATGCATCTAACAACACTACCAAATTTCAGTGCAAAATACAACTTTGAGAAACAAAAAAGAGATACTATTAGGGAGTAAGGTGAACCGTTTTCAATAGTTCGGGGTGTAAAATGAGCTGAAAAATAGTTTAGGGGGGTTAAGTGCTCCAGTGAAATAGTTCGGGGGAGTAAAATTGATTCTTTTCTTTTATTATTGTCATCCCTTTCTTTTGACTCTGGCTCAAATTGCCATTTCCTTTTGGAACTGATGAACATACCAAATAACTGTAAATCTTGACATAGATATCTTCGACCTTAGATGTATTGGGTTCATATTTTGTATAATCTCTCGTACTCATATGCTGTTAGCATGATTTTCATTTTTATCTGTAAAACTTGATGTGGAAAATGTTGTGATTCTGGTTTATAATATCTACTGCTACAAATGTTGAGAAGAAAATGATACATGGTATGCTGTAGATGTTGAAGGGATGGAATCATGTGAAATTTGTCGTTGATTTATTTATCTTTGCCGCAGATTGAAGGATACTATTTTGGAATTGCTTGTCACCTAACTATTTTAGCTAGAATTTGTTACTTGATGTTTTTATGGTGGAAAGTTGGCTTACCTTTGTAGCATGCACATCTCATGTGCAGAATAAATCAATGTGTGGTGCAGAGATGTCTTTCTGCCAGTATCCTACTCTCTTCTTCATATTTTCTCCTGGCCAGTTCAACTTAATTCTATTGTCTCATTTATGAATCTCTAATAACCTCTTTCCATGGCAGTTACTGATTTTTAGGGAATGTACACTTTTTTGGCAGATAGGGTACATATGTACCTGTGATATGTATTGCATGTCTGCAACTGGTTTCCTTTTGTTCCATTTACACCATTCTAATACCTATCCATGATTCTACTACTCAGGCCACACTACAATGTAAACCTCAAGTCAATTGATGTTGGTGGTACTGCACTAAAGCTTCCGTCACATATGTTTGATACAGGCGAAAAGAAGGGTACCATAATTGATAGTGGTACGACCTTAACATACCTTCCGGAGATAGTTTACAAGGAAATAATGCTTGCGGTATGAAATGAGCCCTGCATTTGTTTTCCCATGTTATGGAGGATTGCATGCATGCGTTCTCTTTACATGTTATATTTCTCAACCAATTTCAGGTATTTGCCAAGCATAAGGATATAACCTTCCATAATGTTCAAGAATTCCTGTGTTTCCAGTATGTTGGGAGGTATACTTTACAACATACTCCATCCGTTTCGCAATGTAAGACTTTCTAGTATTGCCTACATACATATAGATGTAAATGAACCTAAACACATACGTATGTCTAGATTCATTAACATCTAAATGAATGTGGGCAATGCTAGAAAGTCTTACATTGTGAAACGGAGGAAGTAGTATCTAGCTATATTGTTGAGCAGCAAAATTGTTCCATAATGTTATGTTCGTGACTTTCAAATAAGTTGGGAGAAGAATGAATTATGAGCCCAACTACAATTTTATTCGTTTTTTCTTGAATACGCAGGAGTGCAATTTTATTTGTTACATTTCTAACTATATATTTTTATTCTTCTATGCAGAGTGGATGATGACTTTCCAAAGATCACTTTCCATTTTGAGAATGATCTTCCTTTGAATGTGTATCCACACGATTACTTCTTCGAAAATGGGGTAATGTAACATCTCACTCCAGTGATTTGGTCACCTATTGGTATTTCTTTGCCAACTTAGTTGTTACAACTTATGACACCTATAAGGTTATAACATGTTAAACTGGAATATGAAATGGATTCAGAGCATTTGGGCAGCTTTTCCAGGTATATTTGCAATTTTGCACACTATTTAAAGAGGATTAAATTTGGTTTAGTACCATCTCAACCGCTGGTGAGTCTTAAAATACCATTGCTAACATGAGGGGTTTTAAAATACTATAGGTATAAAATTTTGGAGGGTGGCATTGCCCTAGGCTTTGCAGTCCATGGCAATTGTTAACATCCAATTAGGACAGAGGGATTTCCTGAAATGACGTTATCACTCCTACATCCTCCTTTTCTTCTTCTTTGTAATTTGTGTGATATTGCACATGACCTTAAAAAGGGGGACATGTCCATGCACTACTTACGTGGTGAAAGTGGCTATACATGGTTGAACCCACATCTTGCTCCCTGGTAAACAAAAAATGAGGGTAGATTGGCCATTTTACACATTTTCAACGGAAAATGGACTGTGCTGGTGTTTTCCAAATCTGTTCACTTTACAATGGTATTCTGTAGCCACTCTTGTTTACGATTGTATTTTGCAACTTGCAACAACTGTGAAGGCGATGACAATGTTGCAGATTTTCATATCCAAATTAATTTTAAACTGTAAACCTGTACAAAAACATGGTTCCCTTGCATACTAGTTGCATTGCTGTTTGCATCTCTGTTACCTTTTTCCCAATTAGTAATAGTCATTCCCTTGCATATGTTTATTTTATTTTATTTATTATCCCTTCCCTTCTTTTCCAATTGTTCATGTTTAATATTGGCATTCTCTGTTCTATAAGATGCATTCAGCCATTCTCTATGACAGAAATATTTGGATCAGGGTTAAGGGAACTTCTGAATAACCCCTTCGAAACCCTCATATTTGATTAGCTTATACACCAATATTCTTATGATTGCCTCCAGTTCTTACCCTAGACTCAGATATTCCAAATAAAATTCTAAGTTATATAAAATACAAAAAAAGAGGGTAAAATTGCCTTTGACATGGTCTCGCTGAGAAGCTGGAACTGACCATATTCCAGTTTTCCCCCAGAACCAAGATTGCAAAATGTGGAATTTTTTGTCTGTCTCACAAAAGGAATTTGTTTAGTTATTTGAACATTTCATACTACATTTTAAAATAGACCCTCCAAGGAGTTAATTTCAAAACTGAACAATTTTGCCGGCCACGCCATGGGTAGTGCCATCCTGCAACATGCTTATTGTTACCACAACATTGTTGGTGACATGGGCAAACCATTGCCACAACAACACATGGTACAGTTTTGCTGTGCCAACACTGATGGCATGGGCAAAAAAAAAGGTTCTGTTATGGAAATGACTTTTCTAAGGAATTATTTTTAAAACATTAATAAGAAAAGGTTCAAAAAATAAAAGAAAATCCCTACAGAAATTGCTATGGGTTAACAGCATAGTACTATAGCATTGCAACTGTTCTCATGGGTGGCTTATACAGTTGTTTGCTTCAGGATAAGATAGTAGTTTTCTTGTTAGTGAAGCATTAGTTTCCTTGGAAATGATTAAAATGTTAGGCCAAAGCCTTTGTAACAAAGGAGCAGTATATTAATTTAGATCAAGCAAAATTCAATAAATGAAGAATCTAGTGCTCTTCTCGTTAATCAAAGAGCCATATGTATTGACAGTATAGGAAAGAGTTCCTTGCTAGCCTGAGCTTTTGGGCTTTTACTAATACACACATTATAATAGAATTGTTAACACTTGTCGCACATAAATATTTCAAGAGAGTTGGTTCTCACTCACTTGAATGGACTGACCTTTGGATGCATGTTTCGCCAGGATCTGAACCTGCGTTCAAAGGCAGATGCATTTTCAATCCCACCTGAGTCAGAAATGCCAAAATATGTAACATTCTAATGACTGCTGTGTCTTGAAAAATTGCACTAATTGTGTCGTAGGATGCATAAATCAGACTCTAAAGCTCTGTTGTTTTGTCCCTCTTCCCAACTCCATTCCCTCGTTTTCCACGCGCACGATTCCTACACTGTTAAACAGCGTGTTTTTTTTTAAAAAATATATTCTTTTTAGATAATGGAATTAAAAATCCGGCCTTTGCTTCAACGAACCTACAGCCAATTATTACAATATTCTCTCAAAAAGAGCAAACACTCAAGCAACAAAAATAACTTAAAAAAATAAAGCCAACACATAAGGAGTAAACAATTTCTATAGGAAAGTTGTTTAAAAAAATCATATTAATCCATTTTTCAAAAAAAGCTAATACTTAATTAATTATATGCTAATGAGTCGCTCCACTTTACGTGCGTGAGTTATTAGTTCCCATCCTCATATGCCGAACGTAGCCTAAGGCTGTGTTCTTTCCCCTCCTTTCCCTACTTACCCCCTCGTTTTCTGCACGCATGCTTCCCAAACCGCTAAATGGTGTGTTTTTTGCAAAATTTTTCTATACGAAGGTTGCTTTTAGAAAAATGTATTAATTCATTTTTCAAAAAAAAGGACTAATACTTAATTAATCATGCGCTAATGAGTCGCTCCATTCTGCATGTCGGAGGGATTAGTTCCCATCTCCAACCAACAAACGCAGCCTAAACCTGCCACATTCAGTGGTTCAAAGTCTAATTGTTCCAATCAACGATCATGATAGTTAATTTGAATTTAATGGAGTACTATAGTTTGAAATGATACTATACCGTTGCATTCAGTCTTGTAGTAGTTGTTATGTTCTGTATATAACATCATAATATGCAGGTTCACAGATATATGTTCATGACACTTAGATTTGTGATTTTTTTTTTTGTATTTAAGCAGGATAACTTATATTGTGTTGGATTCCAAAATGGTGGATTACAATCAAAGGATGGGAAGGGTATGGTGCTTTTGGGAGGTTTGTCTTGCTCAGCACATGCAAATCCTTTACTCAATGTTATATATCTGATGTTTTTTTAGAACTGTTATATATATGATGTTCGTGCTATTACCTGTTTTTTTTCCAGATCTGGTCCTTTCAAATAAGTTAGTTGTCTATGACCTGGAAAATCAAGTCATTGGCTGGACTGAGTACAACTGTAAGTTTAACACATTCAAATTTGATTGTTATGAGTTCATTCCATAGTACTTTACATGTTTAGTCTATTGTTCTTGCTAATGTCTTGACAATCCGAAAATATATGGCACCAAAGTTGGATTGAGTTTCACTTCATAAGGAAAATGGGACGCTGGAACCATGTTATACTAAGCGTTGTTCAGTAAAAGAGCTTTGCATGTTGCACGCATTGCGTGCTCCAAGTTCTGAACATCTTAGTCATGGGATGGAATATGCAACTTTTAGCTACAAACATATTCTGGGATGGATGAAGTACCTAACTTGTGTGTCATAATTGGCTTGTCCGCTCTTTGCAGGTTCCTCTAGCATTAAAATTAAGGATGAACAGACAGGGGCAACATACACTGTTGACGCTCACAACATCTCCTCAGGATGGAGGTTTCATTGGCAGAAGCATTTGGCTGTGTTGCTGGTAACAATGGTGTACAGCTATCTAATATTCTAACTCCGGTGTATGACACGGACTCTAGTGGAAATTCATTTGATTTAAATTCTTTTCACCAAAGAGGGAAAAAGGGTAGGGGTGTTTAGATGGTGTTCTCTGACCACTCGAGAGAACTGAAAAGGAAACATTGTACGCTACACAATGTACCCGAGTGTGTAGTGTAATGTAATGTAATGATGTGGTGACTGGTGAGAAAATACTATGGCTGAATGTGCTTTTGGGAGGTTCTAGGAATGATATCAGGCCCCCATCTTTTGAATATACTCTGATAATATGCCGTACAGCATATTAAGGAAAAAAATAATTTATATTTTTTTAGATAATGATAATTTATATGTAAAACTTTTATAAACTTGTACATAGCGATTTAAAAGCTAACTAGCAATAATTAAATCTAACTAGCAATAATCACGAGCTATGCTGCGCGCGTGCATAAGAGACTAACTATATTTGATAGCCAGCTAGTATTTTTTGTCACGAATATCTATAATCACACATATTTCGGTACTGAGCAAACCAAATTTTGTTCAAATTGTAATAACATAATGCGCTAAAAGATCAAGTTAATGTACAATGAGGCCTTGTAATAATTAGAAAACATCTATTAGCTAGTAGATCTCTATACGGGCATAACCCCACAGATTGCACTTAATGGGCACGCCAACAACAAACCATCTATTAGATGAACTTTCATACATGCATATCTCCACATATATGGAATCTGATGGCATGTTAACGCTAGTTCTCTAAACACTTGGTAAAACTGTCTGTACATCCGATCCTTAATTTGTTCTGCAATCTTTACTATCCATTATTTGTGCTGCTTTTGGGTACCTAATTACCAACAAAGAATGATGTCAGTCCCAGAACACAAGGAAACTAAATAAAATACATCTATTGGTATCATCTATACGAAGAAGGGGAACCAAGAAGTAAAACTGGATGTAGTAGAAGTGCATAATATAACCAATATAAGGTAGAAAAAAAGAACATTTATGGGTCCTCAGACAACTTTGATGATTATAATAGTTGAGAAAAGTATGCATTTGACTAATCACTAATTATTGAAACATATGACTCTACTATATGCATTCCTAAAGAGGTAAACTATATCCAAATTCCCAAAAATCTTGGTAAACATGAATCAGAGACCATGCCGGATGACAATTTTAGCCCTGTATGTATGCCATTCATAAGGCATAGCTGAGAAAAGTATGACCATCTTCATTGCAACATATTCAGATCATGTCTTGAGAAAATTAAAATAAACTAAGAAAATGAGTTAATATCGATGATCAATAGTCTATTAACTTTATCTTGTTACCTGGTTTATGATTTAGCTCAGAACCCATCACATTATCTCAACAGCAAAATAAGTTGATCAATATACTCCATGTTCATGCTTTTCAACTTTTCGTTAGCGGCATGAAATTTCGATAATAAGTTTAGAACTAATACATCATGTGGAGAAGCATCATTGATGCAAAAGAATACAAATGTGCTTAATTATGGCGAATCATGTGTAGAAGACAAATTTATATTGAATGTTTTTTTTTCAAAAGAAAAGGAATAATATATGTGACCACGTTTAATACTTACTGATAAACTGAGCATACCAATTTATAAGAATAAAAGTACCTGTGGGGTAATGAAGTCATTGATCTAACGGTAAAAATGAATGGCATTGATCTGTTGGGGTGACTTCGATGTCTCTTATCCTGTCATTGAAAGAAAACCATGCTATAGAATCAGTAGCACCATTTTTAAGATTAGGATCATATATAGAAAACAATATGATAGCAGAAGAAAATATGTAAAATTATTTTAGAGCTTGAATTGATTTAGTAAAGAAGTACACCTATATTAGTCCGTTAGTCCGTTAAAGCTCTGACCATATTCAAACTAAATACATCGATTTCTAGCTAGATGCAGCATACCTTGGGATTATGTATTGACTTACAGACACACTGCTGGACTATTGTAGTTATCATAATATGATTCAATGAGCTATGGAGCTTGTTACAGATTTTTCAGCTAAAAAAACCAGCATGGTGATGATAATATATGATTACCCCTTAAGCATAGGCCAATTGTTTGTCTTCATTGCTAGTCGATGAGAGCATGAGTTTCGAAGTAGAAGGGGAAAAGGGAGGAGGGCAGCAAATCAGCTGAACATGATTATAGGAGAAGGTAACAAAGAAGCATGTCATTTCTAATTTGCATTCTAGCGGGAAAGGAAAAAAAGAATATAAATCATATATTTGATCCGGCAAAGACATAAACCACTTGGCTATTCAAATACAGACCACCAGGGCTGTAAGGCAACAATCTCATCTAATCCTGTTCTAGAATATGCAACTGTATTTCAGATTTGTAACCTTGGATGTAAAAAGGGTACTGACCTACACTCTCATTCAAAAAAGGGACCCAGTGATCACCATTGTAGATAAACTGGGCTTGAGCTAACAATAAGTATTTGCCTACTTCGTAGAACAATAATCTGAAGTCTATAACCATCCTTTAGAGTTTAGACATGCAAACAAAAACTGCAGCATAAGAGCAAGAACAATCACCTTTAATGACATAACAGTATATGGGCAAGGAAGACCACATACATATTAATTGTAGCATTCGTCATAAAGCAGTGGTCACACATAACAGCTTAGATATTTAAGTATTGGAGGTAATATGTTTCAAAAGCAATCAATAAGCCAAGGCTAGCTAGAGATAATTTTTAGCTGAAAATAATATCAACATATAAATCTTTGTAGATCCTAAGTGAGCACAAGGTTTACTTTTTTTTTTTCCCAAATCGATGCATATGGAAAGCTGGGCTTACACTAAATGTTTAGCAATATACAGAGTTATAGAAACAGTTAGGTTGTTAGAGGTAGAGCTAGAGCTAGGTGAATAAAAAATCAGTAATAAAAGCAAAATAATTATCAAGTGATCGATTATGCTTATCTTTTCAAAATGATATACAAATCCTAGACTGAAAGTCTGAAATCTGCATACAAACTGGTATATAGTGTATACAACAAAAGGGGATTTTCGTGCTCACCTTGAGGTCAGGAGTACACAGGTTAGCATTATGATTAAGGGAAAAAATACCATGAAAATGTCAACGATGGTGAAAACACAACCTTAGGAAGTAAAATATACAACAAATTGAGTTTTCTATATCAACATGTACCAAAAATATTGTCATTGTCTTATAAAGGGGAAAAGTAGAGACAACATATCTGAGATGCATATAAATGGCAAATCATCTGAGTGGCAGCGAGAGCAACCTCGAACACGCTTCTTCTCTTTGCACAACACCTGAAAGAAAAGGTTTCATCAGCAAATTGGGGTATATGCTTTCACAGGACCATCGACCATCCTGGCTCCTCTCCTTAGGAGAATAGCAGATCTTGCCTATCTACTGGTACTGATTATAGGGAGGAGACAAACCTGCTATATATGCTACGGCTAGTGCCGGCTGGCTGTACGGTGGTGTGAACTTGCCACTGTTGGTATTTCTTAACGACATTACTAGAAATATAATTCCCAGCAATGGCGCAGAAATACTCCTGGTATATTATGGTTACAGAGTTTATCCGTAAGCGCACGGATATACCATTGTAGCATTTCACTCGAGAGTATTGCAAGAGTATCATATTTGTTTAATCCCGTAGGAAGATTATAGTAGAGAGAACCGTGCTAATAATTTATATGTTGCTTGTAATAATCATAGTCTAAGTAGGGATTAATATAATCCAAAGGGTAGGATGACACACAAGCATAGAACTACTCATTCTCATATTAAACTATCTAAGCTAAGTGGAAAGAAAATAGAAAAGAATCTATTCCTATACTTCTAGTATACATATTATACATTCATCCTAGTTATATAATTAACTAGCTAATACCCTCTTTCTGATGCCCTCATGGTACTTCAAGAAGCCACCCCTGACTGTCGAGTTCCTTACGACAGCCCGTCATGACCATACAACCGGGGCTAAATACGGAGGAGTACCCTCCCTAAGAAATTAACTTAGGACTATATATATGCGTGAAGGAATACCCATACTGAGCTGTCACCATCAACGACCCACCTCTCATCCGTAGCATATAACCCCAAATAATGATACCTAGTAATCTAGACACCAGGACTAAACTACCAGATACTACTCTAATATCATCGTCATGACATAGAGTAATTGCAATAGCAAACATTATACCCGTACCTATGCATCTCCCAGATAAGCTAGCAGTATAATCAGTATAATTTAAACATAAAGTAAAGTTGGCATTCATATACTCGGAAAGTATTTCAATACCATAATTGTATAAAGAAGAATATTCTAAATAAAATACAAGTCTTACAAAAGAAGAAAGGAGAGCTGCTAGAGCCATACCCAAACTCTTCCGAAGACTTCTGGACTCCGATTTCTATTATATTCCTACTCCACTAGCTTGATACTACTAAACTAAACTTGAGAGAATATGAGAAAGCTCTTGCTTGAAGTGTGTGGAAAATGGAATGAGAGGAGCTCCTTTTATAGCTGCTAATGACGGTTGTGGCAGTTGGAAATTTCCTAACTGCCCTGCAACTGTCATTGAGGATGCATCCTGGATGTCCACGCAAAACCACAGGATGGAAGGCGCTGATGGGGGTTCGGCCGAACCATGGCCTGGGCCAAACCAGCCCATCCTCGGCTGGCGGTCTCCTCCATTGCTTCTCTCCGTAGACTTGTGAATTTTGGCCCAATTGGTTATGTCATTTTTGAGTTTTTGGCCCATTCATACATAAGTCTGATCCTCGACATTGTCCGATTGATTGATCGTCTGATTTGATGTCGATTCTCCTCCACTCTGTGGTTATTCTCTGCAAAAGGTCAGTAAACCTATTACCAGTGGAATATTATTATTCTAACACAAATATGCATTACAAGCATAACTATTTCTCCTCTAATTTGGTAGTATTGACGGTCGAAACTGATCGCTAACGTCCATCAACAAAAACCCCCCAAGCTTGAACCTTTGCTCGTCCCAAGTAAAGGACGAACGGAAACAAAGACTTGGTTGTTGATCAGGAATTGCTACTATGCTGTATATCTCAAATGTACAGGTGCAAGGTATATGTACTCTCTCTCAAATTAAATAATATTTGGCATGGTGGCTTACCCTTACCCCTAATTCCCACAAGACACTGCCTTTCCTTGCCTTGAGCGGTTGAAAGATAGAACAACAATTAGAGCACTAATCACCCAATTTTTAT